GAAGGGTTGTTCATGCTGCAGGCAGCCACCTCGAGCCCAGCTGCTGATGTAGTACTACCCGGAGCGGCATTTCAGGCAGTCAGCAGGCAGATTCAGGTTTCGGGGCACCATGATGCTAGGGGCCTTGACACAGGCGTTTTGGCCCCCGGAAGCCCCAAAGATTCGTGTCTCATCGGCCGAAAGGCCTTGACAGAGGACACGGACTCTTGGCTGGTGTTGGACACGGCATGGTCCTGATGATAGCTGCGGAGCTGTAGACATCATACGTCGATCCGCTGCCTGGTGGACCTGTCATATGTGTGGACATCGTGGCCCATCTAATGAAGGCCTCCTTGACAACTTGCGCGTTGGGCGAAGTCCAGGAGGGCATAAAGTGGCGGTTTTCAGAGCAGCTAAGGAGCTGCAACAGGACCTCGGGCACCGGCTATAGCGCTCGATTAAGCTGCAAAGTTTAGCTAATAGAGTCGAGGGTTTGAATTTGAGAGTGCGAAGGGCACTAACCAGTGGCCAGTCGTCGTGAACAAGACCTCCGCTTAGCGATGCGCATTGTGTCAACCTTTCCAGCTCGAAGGCTCTCGTGGAGTGTCCTCTACACTGAGCGACAGGGTAGTAGGGTTGCTGTGTTGAGGAACTTAACTTTAAAAGTCGACTGAAGGTTGAAAGGATTTCCATAAGGGTTTGATATAGTGGTTCTTGCAAACGACTCACTCTGTTATTGTATCCCGGCCATGGCTTCTTGAGCTGACTTCATTAACATCTGAGCAACCCTTGACTTGGTCCAAGTAAAATCCTTCCTTGGGTATCTCAAGCGGTTAGTTCATAAACTCCTTCTTCTCATAACTTAGTCCTTGAGGCCCCAAGAGGCCCCTTTAAAATCCTTACAGCGGCGAACTTACACTAGCTTCGGTAAGACCTGATAATACTCCATAGAGCCTTTGTGGGAACTCATACCAGCTTCCATGAAGCGTTCCTAAATCATACAAAAAACCTTTGCTATGGTAACTTCAATTCATTTCCTTGAAGTCTAAATCGAGCTTCCATGATACAGGATAGTACAAGCCTCTGGAGCTTTTATCATGGTAACTGGCTTCAGTTTTTATTATGGCAATGTAGCAGGTTGTGCAGATTTGTCGCTATCCCCGAGGGCGAAGCTTCAGTGATCCCAGCTTGTAACTTAGTATAGTTCTATTATGGGACCATACAGCAAGGGCCTAAACAATTGCCAACACTTTTTTTTTTTGGGGGGGGGGTCCGTATTGTAATTATGGTATAATGATTGGGCCCCAAAACCCGATTCTAATCATTAAGTCTCCTATACTAAACCCTTATCATAACCCTTAAAGGAACCCTATTCTAATTATGACATGACTTTATGCCCTAAACCCTAAACCCGGTATCCGATTTCAAATTTTAAGCCCTAACTACTTCATTGTCTGTAGAAGAGCGGCAGGAGCTCCAGCAGGGAGCGGAGGCCGGTCATCTCTGAGACACACTTGGAAGATCTTGGGACTTAGTAAGTCAGGGTTCTATAATAAGAAGGGTTTGTATAAGGGCTCCTGAAACGGATCTATAGGTAGGGTTTAGGGTCCACTTGGAGGATCATGGGACTTAGTAAGTAAGGTTATAAGTGCCTTAATTGGGGTTATGAGTAGTTATCAGTATAGTTACCTTGCTTATAACCTTACTTGCTAAATCCCATGAGCCTCGGAGACTGGGGAGTTCGGATTTTAAGGGTGTTTAGAGCTTCAGCGCTTTAGGTTTTTGGTCACTGGCTTTAGGGTTTGGGGATTATACCTCCTGCTTGACCTTTTGGTATCTTGAAATACTGTAGAATCCATGAGTTGTAGATGATTAGTTACTATGTTTTTCAGCACTTTGAGACTAAAGAACACATTCAAGTTTTAGAACCCTGAAGCCCTTTTAGAGCCCTGAAGCCTCAAAAGCCCCAACAACCCTTGGAACGCCCTGAGCTTGCGAGGCGCTCGCTTCCGCCTCGAAGAAGGTGAAGCTCCAGGCTTCTTGTGGTCTTATGGCTTCCAGTTTCTTTTAAGAAGCTCCTTTAAGAAGTTTTAGAACGACTTTGTTAATGCCTGTTGGGGTTTGTGCTTTGGGGTCACAGGTGCTGTGTTTGCAACCTTTGTCGTCAGGACTTTCGTTTCGAGTTTGTGAAGACGTTGAAGACGATGAACGTATGTCTTGTCTATCAAGGTGGTGGCGATTGCAGAAGATTTAGTAGTAGTCGTCGTCATCCTAGCGGTAGACGTAAATCGTCCTAGTATTCCCATGACAAGTACAAGTAGTAGTAGTAGTAGTAGTAGTAGTAGTAGTAGTAGTAGTAGTAGTAGTAGTAGTAGCAGCAGCAGCAGCAGCAGTAGCAGTAGTAGTAGTAGTAGTAGTAGTAGTAGTAGTAGTAGCAGTAGTAGTAGTAGTAGCAGCAGCAGTAGTAGCAGTAGTTGCAGCCACTACTGCTGTTGCTACAACTACTCCTTACTACTACTGTCAGTACTGTTTGCCCAACAAGGCACTAATACTACTAGTACCGTTGGCAGTGCTGGTACTAGTACTATGAGTAGTCGTAGCAGCAGCAGTAGTAGGCTGAGAGTTAGGATACGTCTGCAGGCTTGAGGGTTGTAGAGTGGTTGTTTGCGAACTCGGCGAGGGCCCCGAAGCAGGGAACCACCTCAACAATGCACGGGAACGAGCCTAGCGTAGCGGAGCACATCTTCTAAGTTTTTCTATATGCCCCAAACTCGACATGGGCAGTGTTCAAAAAGCGTTTTCTTGAGCCCCCAACAGACTACGTCACCATACTAAAGTGCCCTCTACATCTACCCCAACTCAGAAGAAGACCCCCAAGAAACCCCGAACTCCAAACAGTATGAAGAGCTAGAAGCCCTTCTAAAATTGAAACCCCTTACTTGGTCTTCGGAGCATAGGCTGGCCAGCCAGCCTTGCCGGCGCAGAACGAAGTGCCGGACTTCACAGGCTGGGTCGCCACCGTGGTTCGATGGGCACTGGTTTAGAGGATCAGGGAGCTCAAAGACAGTCCGTCGGTCGCTTTGGCTTGAGGTTTAGGGTTAACCCGATGAGTGATACAGGCTCCAAGGTGTTTGCTTCACTTGCACTCTAGAGTCTGAAGATTCTGTGGTAGCTGCTGAAACATTCCGTCACTGGCATGCGATGCTTCCTTGTGAAGGTGAGGACTTCGAAGCCAGTGTCTTGGAGCAAGGTGGGTGTATGAATTCCCGCCTCCAAAACTCAAGATGCCCTTCTTCTAGCCCCAGAGGCGGCGTGAAAAAGGTATGGGACTGTCAGAAACCAGGTGACCCAGGCAAGCTCCACCACCGAGTCCCTGTAGAGGGATATTTGTGAAACTTCCCGCAGTAAGACTGTCGCAGAATCACGCAAGGACGAAAGCTCCTGTGCACCGTCTGACTAGCCTGTTGAAGCTCAAAGCAGCAATCACAGTGTAGCAACAGCAACGACAACGACCACCATTGCCACGGGGGACACCGACCTCTACCCTGGGTATCTTCTTTCCGAAGACCATTGGAAGTGTGGGGCCTTTGTTTACGGCTGACGGAAGTCGTCTCAGGCGACGATGAGGAGGACCCTGACTGCTGGACCCCTGACCCCTTCGATGTGGATCCGCAGCCACTTGGCAAGACTCCTCTCGCGGCCGGACAGCCGAGTCAAAGCTTGCAGGCTTTTGGGTGGAGGGCTTTAGGGTCACGGGTTCGTGGGCATCCAGGTTTTGGGGTTTAGGGATAGGTTTTGAGGGTTTCGGCGGTTATGGGCCCGCATGTGAATTTCAATGGGGCTCAGAAGGAGTTCAAACGGCTCCTAACAAAACACGAGTTGTAAGGAAGCAGGTGTTGTGTCCTCGCGGTCCTGCTTTAGGCAGACTTTTGTTGAGGGGTCTCCAAGACCCAAATCGAAAGGAAAATGAGCGGGACGGTTTCCTAACTTCGCCGCCCTGCGGGAGGGCTGCATAATGTGCACCCTCGTAAAAAGGTGCCCAGTCCGTCCTGCGCATACTGCACGAGCTACGTAAGTACTATATACGGCAAGGGGCCACTAAATGCTGCAGTGCTGGCAGAATTTGCACACTGGCAGTGTGCTCGCTGCAATGTTCGAACACTCCAATCCCTGACTTGTCTGCCGTAGTTCGATATTTGTGGAGTATTGAAAGCTGTGAATGCCTGGGTCGATCAGCAAAGGAAGCCTTCCCGACACCGACGTGCGCAGGCGCAGCTGAGGTCTAAGTGCTCAAGTCCTTCGACTCCCTACTTACCCAACGAATAGATGATCTTCCATCGATATGTAGATACAAAGATAGTTTATACTTACATACAACATATTTATGTAAGTATGTATGCGCACATCAACTATGTATGATACATCTGCATAGAGTATAGAAGGGGAAGGCAACGGCGAATACAAGAAAGAAATTGGCATTTGGAGGTCGGGGCGGGGAGGGACGGGGCTCTGTAGTGGACCACTGTGACCGGCTGCCAGAGGTTCAGGCTTTGGTCGTAGTGTCCCTCACCTTTGCTCGCCGCAGGGCACAGAATCGGTTTGTTGGATGGTACAGTTCGCGTCTAGTTACACTGCCTCTAGCATTGCACTGTAGATCCCAATCCACCAAAAAGCGCTTGCTAAATCACCTCTACAATAAAGACAAGAAATAGCCTAACCTGACCCCTGGCAGGATGTGGTGTCCCTGCTCGTGGGAATCTACGGCTCCAAGGTGTGGGGAATGCATAGGATTGGTGATGCAACAGTCTGGATCTTGTCAAGAATCGTCTTCAGGCGGCACTTTTGCAAGGTTTCACAAATCTACGGCAGAAGCCCTGAAGACCTTTCACGAAGACTCAAACTTAAACTCCAGGGAGGATTCGCGCGTTGACAAGGTCGTATTCTTTCCCGAACTCTTGCTGATGCCCAGTCCGGGCTATTGATGCTCGGAACCCTTCGTTGAAAGCTCCCCTCTGCAGGAGATGTTCATAAAGGAGTACAAGGACTGCACTTGACGGCGTGGGGTTTCTATTTCGCAGACAGACATTCCAATCCTGGCAGCAAGCGCGTAAGCAAGGGTGCCTTGAGATACCCTTCCCGTCGGCTTGATCTGTTGACACGTATATTTTGCATCTCAAAAGTATCTGTTTGTGTGCGCAAGTGATGTAGGTGCATATGTACGCATGTAGGCACGTTTGTACATGCTTGTGAATGAAAACTTGAGTCTAAGACCTTACGGGAAAACCTCGAAGCCGATATCGAGGAGATGCTGGCAGACCGACTTCTTGCAAATCCCACCTACCATGCTGAAAGGGAGATGCAAAATCTGGAGCTACTGAAGACCAGGCTGAGTTGTGGGTGCTGGTTTCTGTGAGCCCTTACAAGTAGGATGCCAGCATTTGGGTTCGTGATGGCGTCCGGAGTCCTTTTTTTGAAGCACTTCTTTGCTCGGAAGCCCGGCTTGCAAGGAACGTGCTTTGAATCGTATTTATGATCCCTCTAAATGTTCAGTCTGATGCTTCAAAAAGGGGGATCGGATTGCTGTTAGACACTATCCGACCCATCAGCTACCTTCATTACTTGGGGCTTCTTGCCCCAGAAGGGTGTGCCTTGCTGCAGGGGGCAAGTACAGTGTTGAATATTATTCCTAAAAATTTCACGCATGTATCCTGCATCTCGGCATCGCATATCTAAGAACCATGGTGGATTAAAGGGTGGCGTTGATTCATGTTGGCTACCGAAGTAGTTTCCGCTAACGACATCTATGTGCAGGTTCGGTGATGCGGCGCTTGTCCACTGCGAGGCACCGTGCTCTTAGGTTCTCAGGAAGCAGCGTGGCTGCGTGCAGCGCATGCAAAACTACCCTAGCCACACCCTACTCCAAATCCTTCGACCCTGGAAATTGTCAGGTGATGCTGCAAGACATCAAGGACTCCAAGCGCATCAACGGCAGCTTGGCAGAAGTTTTTTACGAGGTCCAGAGCGCTGTTACAACTCTGCACCACACCTTCGCACCGAAGATCGTCACTCCCGTGACTTGAACCAGTTTTGGGTTTAAGCGGCCAACTCAGGCAACGTCCAGCAGCTCAAGGGCACTGCTGGACCCCTGGGTATCTACGGCAGCACATTGGGGGAGGCACTTTGAACAAGGATTGAACAAGGAGTTGGGGAGAGATGCTATGGTAGCCATAGGGAGGTATGGTAGAATTTGAGCACCCCTCCCTCGCTCGAAAGAACTGTTTTTCTCCGTAGTGTGCCTGGCACCTAGTCTCGATCCGAGGTCCAATCCATCCTCTTGTGCTTTCGCAGCATTACTGGCCACCTGCACTCAGCAAGGCAGATCACCCACGCTTCCGGCCGCTTGGGCAAAAGGCAGCTATGAAGCCCGAGATCTCGAGCGAAACATGCTGCAACTAAAGTAGTCTTTGTGCGCATCCAGGCTTGCCTTGGGCATGACTACGCTCAGGGGGGCGACTCAGTTTGTGCAATCGCCTAGGCTACCGGCTCAGCTGGAGGAGGCCTTGTCGGAGTACGGCCATGCCTACACCAAGACGAAGGCAAAACGTCGCCTGTCTTGGGCAGAAAGACATGTGTTCCACAGGTTTCTCGCAGGCAGTCACAGCCTCAGCAAGGCCAAGCAAGAAACAGAAACCATTGGTCATTACTAAGTGGCCTGAACGACCATGTGTTGAAAGATGATGAAGTGGAGGGGAGAGCGAAGCACGGAAGGCTGACAACTGTTGAGCCAGGATTTCGCCGGTTGGATTAGGGCCTATTGCTTGGGCATTATCGGTCACGGGTGCAAGGATTCTGGTGTACGGTTTGGCCACCACTCACATGCACAGACTCAGGTTCACTCCAGTGGCAGCGAGCTCATGGAGTGGTCGAGATCACGGTGCTTGGTCCAAAGCCCTCCTAGGGCGGGTCTATGAGGGTTCTAGAAGGAGACTTTCAGGGTTTTCAGGCTTGGAGTTCGAGGACCGCTTGCCCCGCAATGTAAGTAGACTGAGAGTCAGCCAAGTCATAACTTCTATGTTAAAAGTTCGCGCACAAAGCCGAAACCCCTACTGTAAACACTCTCAAGGTGCATCTGGCGGATCGCACGTTGGACGTGACGGCCGAAGCCTTGGAAAGTGGAGATCAGCGGCGTGAACCCCGGAAAATGCTCGCCCGAACATAGAAATCGCATGACACCCTCCCTCCTACCAGACCGAGGCCTCAGAACATGCGTGCTGGTTCACTTGAAATACCCCAAAAAGACCCAAACCCCCAAAGCTGCTCGGACAACATAAGTGTGAGTAGGAGAGACGAGAGGTGTATCGTAGGAGCTGATCGCACGTTGGCAGCCCCGCTACGGTAGTTACACCGAACTGCGTGGTTCACTGCCAGCCTGTGAATTTGCAGATAAGAAGAGAACCAGGGCAGGTAGGGACGTGACGAAGCACTAATTCAGTGCTCGGCCCAGTCTGCTCCGAAATTGGCGCATTGTAGACATGGGAATTGCGTGACAAGCCGGGGAGAGGCATCGGATTCCTGAGGTCACGCCGATTCACTACGCAGTCCTGGCTTGCTTCTCCGAGGCATGCGCCGCAGGGCTTAAAATTGCACAGCACTCTTGGTTCCTGTGACCCCGCGCACCGTTAAACCCTTGAGCCTAGAACCCTCCTGAACTTCCAAACTTGAACACATCTCCTGCGCAGAGCCCTAAAGAAAATCCTCAGACCCTAGACCCTGGCTGACTTGTCGAATGCGAGTCCAAAAATCCCTTGCCAACTGGGATTTTGTGGCTCTCCCGCTCAGCCCTTGTCGGAGGCTTCCTCCGGGGAAAGTACGCCAACAACAGCACCGACAAGGCCAACTGTGTATTACGTCTTGTATTTGCATTTGTTAGATACTGTTTGGTTTGTATGTGTATATATGTATATGTAATACAGAATATAGAACATATCGTAGTATATGCTATGTGCTATATAAGAAGCAGCTCAACCTCGGTAGACTTCTCTAGGTCCATGGTAGGAGAGCTTATGCGAAAAGCCCAAGCGGACACGGACTTCAACTACTTTGGGCGAGCCGATGCTGCGGGCAAACTGGACCATGGCCTGGGGGGTGATAAATCAGAGATGCGTACAGATTCATGCGCGGATCTTTAGAGAATCGTTTGCACTTCACGAAAGCCTGAAGCCAAAACTGTAGACAGCTTACATGCTAAGTCCTGATCCCTAAACCGTAAGCCCTAGATCCTAAGCGGCGACAAGAACCCGGCTGGAAGAGGCTGAGCCTTGAAGAGTTAACTGCTCAGCTCGAGCTTCCTGAATCCTGGCAGGCAGTTGAGGATTGCTAAGTGTTTCGGGTTGGGGATTGGACTTTGGAGGTTGAGTTGCTTGGGGTTGATAAGCATGGTCTAAGATTTAGAGTTTTGGTGGTTTAACGGCTTTAGGAGTTTGGTATCTCCAGATTTGATTGAGGGGTTTCCATAATTTAATTAGGAACTAGGAAGAAGGGGCTTTGGGTTGTTGGGGCCTGCAGCGTTTCCTGCTACTGTTCTATCAGAGGCTGAAACCGGAAATCCAAGGGCTTCAGTCTTCCGTCGACAGCAGCTTGTCAATATCCTCTTATCGAGAAATCCTAAGCGACTTGGTGAGACTCGTAGCATAAGTACACCTCGTCGAAGCCTAAAGAAGCAATCTGCAGGCTTCGTGGCTTATTTTACTGGGATGCTGCGTAAGCTGGTCATGGCCAGCCGGGCTTTGCAGGCAGAGACTACCTCCAAAAATCCGAAGATGTAAAGTTCCGAGCCTGGGGTCTTAAATCTAGGTTTTCAAGGGGCTCAGGGTTTGGTACACACAAGATTCGAAGTACGAGCACAGGCCTTTGCTCAGCAATGCTCGTGATCTTATGACCAGGCATCTGTTCGAGCTCCTGTTCCAAACTCGTACACGCAAGCGGAAAGCGACAAGTAGCCCTGAATAACCCCTTCAAAAGGATCTGTAAGGGTTCATTCCAACTTCCCAGAGTTACAGGCCCTCCGTTCCAAGGACCGCTGCAACCCAGGCCTTTCAAACGAAGTGGTGTGCATGAAAAGTCAAACCAAACACACATCTAAGGAGGCTCTCGTGCGGAAACGCGTGGCCTTCTGGGTGGCGAAGGCAACGCCGCAAGCGCGACATGGTAGGGCACAGCGCTGTTTGTTCAAAAGCTTCGCGCGCAAATTTAGGGTTTTGGTTGCAAGAAGAGGTGCAACGACCACTACCGTGTGAGACACATGTGTAACCTTGTGGAAATGCGGCCCGCTGATTGCTGGGCTGCTGCTTTTCGTTGTACGGGCAGTATGCGGTTTCCCGGGTGCTGGGAGTAACAGCAGGATCAGACATTTCAAGTTTTGCTCTCAAAGTTCACGGTAACAGGTAGTTGGCCAAGGCAGACAGCAAGCGGGGTTTAGGGCTTTAATGTCATCCAGAGGCCCGATTTGTCGAACACATGCCGTGACGCAGGGCGTACTCAAAGAGGTCAGCGCGAACCTCTTCGAGTTGCAGGAGCTATCATGTTGGACGGTTATACCTGAGATTGGTCGTAGGCTCAATAAACGAGGGCTCAAACACAGACTCTGAGTGGTAGAGTCCGTATCAGGAAGTGGAAGCCGGACTAAAATAGGGCACACGTAAGGTTGCCAAGCCCTTACCTGGCCTACTGTAGCTCAAGGTTCATAATGGAGACTCGAGGCCCGTTTCCACACAGAGCACTTCCGGGCAAGATGAGAACACTGTTTGGACCTCACTGCGCTGCTTAGTGACACGTCTTCAATTAATATGAAGGAGTCTGCGCCATCGGCAGACGGTGTCAATGTGGACCTTGATGCAGGCTACCTGTGGTTTTCAAGGGCTTCGCATATGTACTTAGCTGACCTTTGCTGTGTCATGTGGCTGCATCTGCAGCTCTATGAATACCAGCAATGACATGAGTAATCATAACGACACTGGTAACAATCATGCAAATCACACTCGCAACAACAACAACAACAACACTCGCAACAACAACAACAACAACAACAACAACAACAACAACAACAACAACAACAACAACAACAACAACAACAACAACAACAACAACAACAACAACAACAACAACAACAACAACAACAACAACAACAACAATAACGAGTACATGAATTCATCGAAAGAGGAAACTAGCAGTACTGCTCAATAGACACGAAACATGTGCTAACACATTATTGAAGCAGAAATAGTCAACAACATACAATACGAATGGAACACGATCCAACACAGTACAATACACTACGGCACAAACTATGTGTGTGTTGTCTGCACACGTACATATATGTATATGCATATGTTCATGTACTGATTAGTTTAGAACGCGTTCGCTGCGTTTAGCAACCTTCAAGATATCTGAATGCACGACGTTCAGACGTTGGCCCGCAGAAGGTTTTGGGATTAAGGGTTTAAGGGGTTGGCCTTTTAAGTTCAGGAGTGAGTAGACTCTATGATCGTCTCAACACCACATCGCCGCAGGAAAGCATCGAATTGGCACTGGCTGCAGCAGTCTTAAGATTGCTTATGTTTAGAGCATCAACCCGAAAGTTCGAACAGAAGAACCTGAAAGGTCTACATGCCTGAAACCCTGACTGAAACCCCATTCCCAAAAGCGCCCAAACTCCAAAGAAAGCTTTAAATCCTGGAAAACTCCAAAGAAGCGGGAGACCCGAAAACCAAGCCCTTCTGGAACCCTTGCCGCTTCTTCATAGACAGGCATTTAAGCTGGCTCGGCCCATGTGTGTATGTCGCAAGCAGAACTAATTGAGCTTCTTTGCAAGACTTTATGGTACGTCTAAGCATCAGACCTTTCTAGGTGTTGGCGGCCGCTGACGCAGATGTTACGCATACTCTCAGTGTCGGGGGAAGTCCAGCTCACGATTGAGTTGGCGAGCTTTCTGGCAACAGTCGCTGCAGAGAGCTATCCTGTCCGGGCATTAAAGGAACACTTGGACGGCGTGTGTGGGCAGCCAAGATTCAGGCAGCGGCTGGCATTCTTGGATGACGGCGGACTGTTGAATGACAATGATAAGCACGCACTGAGACCAGGTGAGGTTCAGCTTGTGCTTCTCAACTTCGGACCAACATCGGAAGTACAAATGTAAGAGCTCCAGCATGCTGCAGAAAATGGCTGGACATCGCGCGTGGAGAGCATTCTCCAAAGACCACAAGACCCTGATTTGAATTTAGGTCGCCCACCCCTGTACGCAGCATCAGCACAGGGGCACCTAGAGGTTGTGCGCCTCTTGTTGGAGGCCAATGCTGATAAGGACAAGGCTGGGAATGATGGCTACACCCCTTTATTCATTGCAGTTGAGAGAAGGCATGTGGAGGTTGTGCGCCTTTTGCTGGAGGCCAAGGCTGACAAGGACAAAACCACGCATGAGGGCTTCACTCCTTTGTGCTTTGCAGCTGAGGAAGGACACTCGGAAGTTGCGGGACTTTTGCTGGATGCGAAAGCTGACATGAACACTGTCAGGCGCACTGGCTCCACCCCTTTGACAATTGTAGCTGAGTACGGGCACTTGGATGTGGGCCGCCTTTTGATGGAGGCGAAGGCTGGCACCAACAAGTCCGGGCAGCATGGTGCTGGTGCCACCCCATTGTGTTTTGCAGCT